CATATAGATCTTTCCATGCTTTTCTGTGGTCATCATATTCATTTCTCATAGCACAGTAACATTCTATTACATTCAAGTACCACAAGTGTTTTGCCGTTTCCCAATTGATGGGCATCTACTTTGTTTCTAATTCTTTGCTATCCTAATAAGTATGGCTATAAATATTTTGATATACATTGGGATTTTCTTCTTATCATTGGCTTCCTTGTGGTATAAGCCTAGCTGGTTATGGAGTCAAAGGGTACGGACAACATCAGGCTTTTATTAAGTACTTTCTGTATCACTGGCTCTAGTCAGAACCCAAGTTTGAGTCCTACATCTCACACTTGCTGTGGGACCTTGGCCAAGTCATTTAACCTTAGTAAGTCTTGGTTTCCTCTTCTCTAAAATGAGGAGGTTGTTCTGAAGTCCCTTCCAGCCATAGCCTCTATCTGAGGCTAGATCCTATGTGACACCTCTAGGGAATTTTATGCTTTTTACAGCTTTTTCCCATCTGTCCCTTTAGAATGTGAAGCAGGGACTGTTTTTTTGCTTTTCTTTGTATATCCACTACTCAGCACAGTGCCTGGCACATAATTAGCACTTAAGCTTTGTTGCCTGATCAGACTTGATAATTCCTGAGGTCCCTTCCATTAATAACGCTGCAATTCTACTTCCTGATTGCATACTTAAAGGGCCCTGTGACAGAGGGAAAGTTTTCGTCAGCCCCATTTGACCTAATAGGAAACTGAGTCTCAGAGAAGTTAGGTGATTTACTTGTTTAATGTCATCCAGCTTGTTAATTACAAGCTAGGGCTATTCTCCCTTTCCCTCACTCCCCCTTCATGAATCTTCAGCTTATGCTAGTCTTTCTCGGAGCCTACACATTTCAGGGGACATGGTGTGCTCTGTGGTATATCCAAATCTGTAAAGTAGTAAATAGTGTTATAATAAGGTTCCATTGTTTATTCATTTTTGTGGAGGCAGGGCACAAGCCATCAATCCTCTCTCTATCCACCCACCAGAGGCTGGGAACAAAACCACCAGGCCAGTCTTACTTCCCTGGGAACAAATTTTGCAGAGGCACAAACTGCCTAATGCGCATTCCTTTTGCAACCTTGGGACTGGCTAGTTCTATATACACTCCTATATCAGAATTCTACTTACTTAGCCCTCCCCCTTCCCTATTGCCAACACGTGTCTCCAGCCTACCTCCCCACCTCCCACTTCCCTAATTAAACATCATACACTGTTATCCCTCCCTGCTGCTATCTCTTCCAGGAGTACCATCCCTATCCAGTCTAATACTCCCCCTCCCCTAGTTCCTCTATCTCTCTTTCCACTAGGCCCTTGGGAACCTGTTCTGTTGTGAACAAGTTGTCACACATCCTCCACCATTCCTTTAGCCATTTCACCTAAAATGAACCCTGTCTTTTCCCTAACAACACCCTTTCCTGGAGAAGAAGGAGGGTGTGACATTTTACTTGTTCCTCATTGCTATGTCCTAACCATTGTTCTGCCACCATCTTTCCAAAACCTCTCCTCTTTTGGAAGTTTACAGCATCACCTTATACTATTGTCTCCCCATCTTTGTCACCATTGACTACAGACTTCCAGGATAGCTTCCTCAAATCCTTCTTCCTCTAAACACCAACTTCTTCTCCAATCTGTGACCTACCATCCTGCTTAGTTAATGCATGGTCAACATTTGATGAACCTCCTTAACACCCTGAACACATAATTTCTTGAACTATAATGACCATTTCCACTCTGTCTCAGAAACCCATTAGTATGGCCCAACCATAGAGCTCATAATGATTTCCTTTCCTGATAATGGCCTACTAGCCATATCTTCCTCTCCCGTAGACTGAATTTGCTTCTGATCATCATCATAACCTCTCAATACCTCTGTATTATCCAGTCTATTAGTTTTTACTTGGTCTTTCCTTTGAGGCTGGTTGCCGTGGTCAGCCAATCAGAGATCAGTATTCACTACCATTCTAGAATCCCTTGCCCCCTTGACATTTCTCCCATTTTGCCATTCATCAGTCCTGAAATGAAGAGAATGGTAAACCATTTATTAAGTGTTTGCCATATCAAGCTAAGTACAGGTGACTCAAACAAGAAAGCAAGAGTCCCTGCCCTCCAGGGAGCCCACATTCTAATTAGGGGTTATAACAACATGTAAAGGAGGATTCATGTCCACGTTCAGGTCTTAGCAGATGGAAAGGGCAAGTAGCATTTTAGGTTCTGACAGGGAAAGTAACAGGAGCTAAGACAAATGACTAACACAAGACAATACAAGAGTTATGAGAGAAGTACAAACAAGATACAGTGGGAAAGTCAGAAGGGGAACAGGGAAACCCTCAAATTCAACAAACATATCAAACACCTGTTATGTGCAAATACTACAGTGTATGTGGAAGACACTGGGGATAAAAAAATTGAAAAACCAAACAAGGCCCTACCCTCAAGGAGTTTATAGTCTAATGAAAGAATAAGAAAAATATGCAAATAAGTTTGATGCAAAGTACAATGAGATAAGGACAAAGGAATAACACTCCAAACATCACCCAATTTGGCTCCAGGAGGGAATAACATAATCAGGTATAAAAATCTTACTTGCCCTATGGGCAGTAGGAGGGAAAAGGGGAAAGATAAGGAAGGGGAGATAGTAGGGAGGAAGAAGTAGTAAGGGGAAAGGGAAAAAAAGGGAGGGGACTAATAAAAGGGAGAGGGGACTGAGGGAGGTGGTGATCAAAAGCAAAATACTAGTGAAGAAGGAAAGGGAGAAAGGAGAAAGAAAAGCATAAACGGGGCAAATTGGATGGAGAGAAAGACACAGATAGTAATCATAACTGTGAATGTGAATGAGATGAACTCTCCCATAAAACAGAAATGGATAGCAGAATGGATTAAAAACCATAATCCTACAATATGTTGTTTACAGGAAACACATTTGAAACAGAGGGACACACACACGGTAAAAGTAAAAGTCTGGAGTAGAATATATTATGTTTCAGTTGAAATAAAAAAAAGCATCGGTGGCAATCCTGATCTCAGACAAAGTAAAAGCAAAAAAGATCTTATCAAAAGAGATAAGGAAGGAAATTACATCTTGCTAAAAGGCACCATAGACAAAAAAGTAATATCATTACTCAACGTATGTGCACCAGTGGTTTAGCATCCAAATTCTTAGAGGAGAAGTTCAGGGAGTAACAGGAAGAAATAGACAGAAAAACTATACTAATGGGGGACCTCAACCTCCCCCTCTCTGAACTAGATAAATCTAACCACAAAATAAATAAGAAAAAAGTTAAGGAGGTGAATAGAATTTTAGAAAAGTTAGGAATGGTAGACTTCTGGAGAAAACTGAATGGGGATAGAAAGGAATATACTTTTTTCTCTGCAGTACATGGCTCATACATAAAAATTGACCATGTGCTAGGGCATAAAAACCTCACAATACAATACAGAAAGGCAGAAATATTAAATGCATCCTTTTCAGATCATGATGCAATAAAAATTATATGTAATAAAGGGCCACGGAAAGATAGACTAAAAAATAATTGGAAACTAAATAATCGAATCCTAAAGAATGAATGGGTCAAACAACAAATCATAGAAACAATAACTTCATTCAAGAGAATGACAATAGTGAGACAACATACCAAAACTGATGGGATACAGTGAAAGTAGTCCTTAGGGGAAGTTTTATATCTCTAAATGCTCACATGAATAAAACAGAGAAAGAGGAGATCAATGAATTGGGCATACAACTAAAAAAACTAGAAAAAGAACATATTAAAAATCCTCAAACACCAAATTGGAAATACTGAAAACCAAAGGAGAAATTAAGAATACTGAAATTAAGAAAACTATTGAACTAATAAATAAAACTAAGAGCTAGTTTTATGAAAAAAAAACAATAAAATAGATAAACTTTTGGTTAATTTAATTTGAAAAAAAAAAAACCAAATTACCAGTATCAAAAATGAAAAGGATGAATCCACCAAGGAAGAGGAAATTAAAACAATAATTAGGAACTATTTTGTCCAACTGTATGCCAATAAATTTGACAATCTTAGTGAAATGCATGAATATTTAAAAAATTAAAATATCTTTTAAGCAATGAGGATTGCATCCAGAAGGGACCCTTAGAAGCCATCAAGTCTAACCAACTCATTTAATAGATAAGGGAAAAGATGCCAACTGAAGTTGTAATTTGCCCCCAGGCACTCGTGTATTAAGTAGATAAGAACCTTCCATCTGGCTCCAAATTCAACATTTGAAGGCCTCTGCTTCCAGACATTACCCCCACCCCGACCCCACACAAATAGCATGGTGCAACATAAAGGCCAAGTAATCCATAGCTGTATTTTTGGATTCTGTTTTAGTTACTGTCATGCCACTGGGTGAACACGGTTTTGAGAGGGCGCTTCTCGCTTCTCTTGGGCTATAACCTCTTTAGTACCCAGAGGCAGCTTGCATTTTGTAATTGGGAGAAGCAAAGGATTTGCAAAAACCCGAAAATAAAGTGATAGACTGTTTTAGAGAGTGGAGACTGTACACATTTTTATAATGAAATGTTATGTCATAGAGCACATACCTAATATTTCTACCCAATATATTTTAATAAAACATACAGGACAAAATGAAATGCAACATTACAGGATGTAACGCGATGGCGTGGTATATATTATGCTTGAAGCCCCCCTCTCCCGTCCTTCCCGCCGCTCCTCCTCCCCCCAACACAGATAAGCTTTCTGTCCCCTGGTACATCAGGAAGCAGCAGGTGACAGGACTTTCACGGATGACCTTGGGAAAGGCTAAAAAAGGGAAGGCGCAGCTCCTCCGGCCCCTGGACCCCCGCGCCTCCGTCTAATTCGGGGCCGGGCCCGCCCCCTGACCTTTCGACTCCGCGTGGGGCCCCACCACCTGTTCTCGGTAGCCAATGGACAGCGCCGGGGGGAGGACGCGAGGTGGGGAACTGGCATATAAGGCTCCCCTGGAGCGGGGCGTGAGTTCGAGGTGTGTCGCCTGCTTGCCTTGCGGGTGCTAGCCAGGTGTTTACGCCGCCGCAGCGGAGACCATTACGATCGCGGACCAGCTGTCCTCGAGGAGATGCTGCGGGTTCGGTGCCTGCGCGGCGGGAGCCGCGGGGCCGAGGCGGTGCATTACATGGGATCTCGGGTGCGTACTCCCCGCCGCTCTGCGCCTCGCGGAGCTCCCTCGGAGGTGCAGTGATGTTGCTTCGACTCCCTGGCGGGTCAGGGTCCCATACGCGTGTCCCGGAGGCCCGGGATGGGATGGGATGGGTTGAGATGGGACGGGGGACAGCGGACAGCGGCATGCGCTCCGCGTCCTCCTGCGTGCCCGCATGGCCGCGGCTGGCCCGGGAGGGGGCGGGGCGGGGCCGCTGCGGGGTCCGGGAAGGGAGCGGAGCGTCGGGGAGACCCGGTACTGAGAGTGCAAAATGGAGCGCGAGGCCGGCCTAATAGTGGGTTCCTCCTGCACCAGGAATAGCTCCGGCCGCGCCCCGCAGCTGACAGCAGCAGCCGCTCCTCCTCCCTCCGCCGTCGGGAGGCCGACCTCCTGCTCCCGGAGCCCCGCGGCGGCCGGGTGCAGTGTGCCAGCTCCCGGCCCGGACCCAGGGCTCTACCTTTAGCCCTCTGAGGCCCCTTAATCTTAAATTCTTGAGTTCCTCTCCCCTCCCCACCTTTTCCCTCGTCAATATGTGTCCTGACTTAATCTTAATTCTTCTAAATTCTAAACTCTATTCTGTCCCAAAATGAAGCAGTGCGTTGGTACGTTGGTGGCAGGGACAGCGAAGTATTTCAGAGATGAGGAATAGGTAGGTGGGTTATTTCTCATGGAAGAGAATGCCCTTTTGAAATGCTATCACCACAGTTTCTTTTGCAGAAGAAACCTGTTAGGGATAAACTTTAAATAGCGGAGAGGCCAAGAAAGGCAGAACCTGGTGAGGAGAGCATAGGATAAGACAGGTTTTCCCACTGACATTCAAAGCACCAGCAAACATTAAACATTCACTCAGTTTGTAGTGCTATACCAAGGCCCTGGGAATGGAATATTGAAAAGCAACAAAGGCCCTGCCTTCAAGGAGGCTTCGGTTTAGTTTGGAGAGAGAGCTGTGTGAGATGGACAGGAGAGGTTAAACGGCAGCTTGAGAGAGTTAATTAGGAATCCCTTATGGAATGAGAAGGGAGAATGGGAATACAGGGGGTGGGTGGCAACTAAGCTAGGCCTAGAAGAGGGTGATTTCAAGGGAAGATGTGGAGGGAGACTGTTCCAGTGTGGGGAGGAGCAGGCCTCCATGCAGGAAGTAGGTGGCCTGTGTAAATCAGTCATTCTGAGGAATGATAAATGTGTAGTGACTGTCTTTATCACCAGAAAAGAGCAGAAGTACATATGATATATATTATATAAAATATATAAAATTCTTTCCTCTTTGAAGCTTGGAAGAGTTTTTACAGGATGGGTGCAGCGAACTTTCCAGAGCACCCAGACTGCAGCAGCCTCCAGAAACTCCTTTGCTGCTGATGACAAGGCCACAGATCCTATTCCTAAGGACTGCCCTGTCTCCTCCTATAATGAATGGGACCCACTTGAAGAGGTGATTGTAGGCAGAGCTGAAAATGCCTGTGTTCCACCATTCACTGTGGAAGTTAAGGTAAGATCTGTGTGCTCTACGAGTGTGTATGTAAGTGTGTATATGTGCCAAATGTTTTGTGTGTTTGTTATAGGTGTCTTGTCCCAGTGTTTCCTGTATGCATTTTTCAGCGCAGATGCTACCTCAAGTATAAAATCACAAAATCAGGTAAACAGATTTTTCTTAGCAAGAAATCTAGAGTTCTCAACATCATTCCAGCAAAAGTTACTCTGCTTTTTCAGTCAGAGCAGTGCTAAGTCACTATGAGAATCATTTAAGTTAAGAGCTTAGAAGCCTCTCTCATTTTACGTAAAAGGAAGCAGATACAGAGGTTCATGACTAAGGGTCACACAGCTAGCAGTTGTCTCAGGCAGGATTTGAATCTAAGTCCATTATTAAGTCCATGCATGCAATTTTTCCCAGCTGCATTATTTGTCTTTTGCTTCCCTTTCCTCTCCCTCTCTTCCTTCTTCCTTCCCTTCCTCCCCTGCTTCTTTTCCTCCTTTCACCTCATCTAATTCCCACCCCCCTCTTGTCAACACTTGAGCTTAACAAACTTTAGACAATATTGTAAAGTATGAGTAAAATTCCAGGTTGCTGGAAAATTCACTTAATTTTTAGGGTTATCACATTTTTCCACCATAGTCTCACTCTTGCTTCTTCATCTTGGTGTGAGAGAGGTGATCATGGTTTCCTAGAGGCTGCCAGTGGAGCATGGTTTCTGTCAGATCCTACCAAGCCAGAAAGTCTGGGACTAACCATAGACTCTGTAGGTCTGTTATCTGAGGAACAGCCCAGCAAAATGTGAAGAGCCCTATCACTACATTGATTTTGGGGTGATTTTTTTTTTTTTTTTTTGTACCTTGGTACCAAGATACAAAGCTCAAAGAATATCTACCTAGATAAAGCAGGATTGCCATCTGCCAGTTGCGTTGGTGAAGAAAATGGCCTATAAACAAAATCTAGATTTTTATGGTAAAATAAGTCAGTCTTTGTAGGATTTTATCTATACTTTAAAAATTAGTTTTTGTTCACATGTGACTAATAGATCTAATGTGTGAGAGGGGTGGTAACAGGTGGATTGAATGGAAACTTCTAGTCTTCTGGGAGAAGTAAACATGTAGACTCATGATATAGGATGAGAGAAAGTAAACTGATTCCCCCCAGCCACATTGTATTTCTGTTCTGAAGACATCCATAGAATCTCAGAATGGAAAAGGACCTCAGAGACCATCTTCTCCAACCCCTACCCAACAGATGGGCCACCAACTTTTGCTTGAAGGTCCCCAGTAAGGGGTAACCCTATTATCTTCCGAGGCAGGCCATTCTATTCTTTAACAAGTTCTAACTGTTAGTGTTTCTGTAATTGTTTTTTCCTTAATTGCAATTTCCAAACTGTATGAATTTGTTTTTAGGTAAATAGCAAGTAAAACTATTATTGGGTCTATTAGTCTAGGATAGATCTCTTATTCAATTAACATGCCTTTATTAAGAACTGGCTCTGGGCTGGATACTGTGCTCCATGCTGGGGATACAGCCTCAAAAGTGAACAGTCTCTGCCCTCTAGAAGCTTACATGTGAAATGACCTGTACATAAACCTCGAAGAGTGCATGTCAGTCCATAATCAGAACAAGGAGAACGTTTTTTCAGTTTTCAAGTAGGAAGTGTCTTGGCCATGATTACAAAGCCAGTGTGTCTGAGCTGGAATTTGAACCCATGTCTCTTGCCTGCTAAGTCCAGAAACTTGCTGTCTCTTGGTGCTTTTCTTAAAAAAAGTTGTCCTGGTTTTTATGGATATTCATATCCCTGTTGAAATTCAGTTCTTTTTAGCAAGTCAAAACAAGCAGAAAACAACTCAAACACAGGCCATACGTGACAGGCCATGCAATGTTCTGTCCTCAGTTTCCTGCCTCCCTGCCCAGAAGAGTATTTATTTTCTGGGATCATGACTAATTTTTCTATTACCTTAGAGGGCATGTGAGCCAGGGCAAGGAGGTGGACAAGTCTCTATTCTTTCTCTGATCACTCTCAGACCTGACCCTACATTGCCCCAGGTTTAGAAGGCTGCCCACTTGTGGCAGGACTGAGCACCTAAGGGATGATAAGGAACCTTCTGTGGTGGGAAAAGCCCAGGATGTGGAGGCAGAAGCTCTGGGTTTGTATTCCAGGCCAGCTGCTTATTACTTAGGTGGCCTTAAGTCACTTAGCTTCTCTGGGCCTCACTTCTCCTCAGCTCTGTAAACGAGGGGTTGGACTAGATGGCCCTTTTGAGGTCCTTTTTAGCCCTAGCTCTGTGATCCTAGAACTTCTTAAATTCACATTGTTGCACTCGCCAAGAATGTTCTTCTGCACCTGTTTATTGCATTGGATTGTGTCTCTGAATTAAATCAGATTAATTACTGCTTTCTATGAAATACTTCATTTGGTTCCTTACTACAAAAAGTGCTTACATGACTATTGGAATACTTTGGGCTCTTCTTTCTTGTCTTTTACCTCCTGGGGAATATGCTCAGAAGCATTAGATTGTAAACTCCTTGAAGGCAGGGACTCTTTTGTATTCCCAGCTTAATGTGAAACTATTAGTCTAGCATAGATCTCTTATTCATATCTCTTATTCAATTAACATGCCTTTATTAAGCTTAAGCACATGTGAGGTACTTAAACATTGAATGATTGGCATCCCTGGGTCAAAGTTACATCTCAGCTTTTTTTTTGTTTGGTTTTTTTTTGTTTGTTTGTTTGTTTTTTGGCTGTGGCTAAAGGAGCAAAGGCCAGATCATCAACAAGCACGGTGCCTGCTGTGTCCTTGTAACCTTTGTTGTCTATATGGGAAGACAGGACAGAGGCCTGAGAGCCTGGCCTGATGTATTTGAGGTTTAGGGGTGCTGGGACCCCAAGATTTCAACACGCAGGTCCTGCCCGAAAGAATTCGACCCAAGCCTTCTTTCATCCAAAAGCAAGGTTTATTCAGTATCACCATCTTAGTCAGAAGGAATCTGAGCATTTGTGAGCTTGTAACAGTGGCTAGATTATAAGAATCTGAGCATCTTAATGGACACAAGATGGACCTTCTATACAGAAAGACTGGGAGAGATCTAGGAGTGGCCAAGTAGTCTGTAGGGATTATGTGGTAATAGAATGCCAGGGACCTGGACCTCCTGGCCAAGGGAGAATGGAGCCTAGTTAGGATTAAGGCTGGGGGAAGTGGTGGGGGAGGCTAGGTTAAGGGTAACAGAATTGGGAGATTGGGCGTAGCCACAATGAAAGGCCAGTTGATGGGATTTATAGATAGCCTCAGGCAGCCAGAGATTTGGCCACGTGGGAAAGTCTAGGGTTTTTCCTTTTTGGGTCCAGATCCCATCCTCATCAGTATTTACTACTCAGATTGTAGGGCCTTTGGAATTCAAGGTATTAAATGATACCTGGTAGGTGAGGTGGTCAGAGCAAGCTTCCTATTTCTTCTGAACAAGTCATAAAGAAGGGCAGGTCTTCTTAGTGACTTGATGTCCCAAGTAATTTCTTTCAAGACCAATGCCCTCTGATCCTGACATTTCCAGATGAATAAAATCTGTAAATGAATTCTCTAGTGCCCTTATTTGATTTTGGAGACCTTTATTGTTCCATCACCCTTAATCTTTTATTTATGAATAGTTCTTTATAGTTACTCCTACATACGGAAGCTACTCCATCTCCTGGATCATTTCTGTTAGATAAAACCCCCCAAAAATCAAACTCAGACATGTTTTGTTTTGTTTTTTTTACCATGTTTGAAAATGCTGATATTAGTTAGTTACATGGCCATGTGATCTCATTTGGAATCAGGCTATTTAGACTTTATTACAATCTCTGTTCTGATGTGCTCTGTAACCTTAGACATTTCACTTTGAAGTTTCATGGTCTGGTGGAAAGCATACTGGGCTGGAGGTCAGGAGACTTTGAGTTGGCCAATTATCAAGTATTTATTGGCTGTCTAGTCTTAGTTCTTTAACTAATTAATTAGCTTTGTGTCCTTGGGCAAATTACTTCATAGTTCCTGGTCTTGCTTTCTTCACCTATAAAATGAAGACATCTCCCTACCTACCTTAAGACACTGTGAGAGTAAAAGGAGTTAACAAGTGAAAGTAATTTTTTAAAGATTTTAAGCACTAAGTGCATTTTTATAACTCAAATCTTGGTTTTTTTAAACTCTTAATAGTAAGACACTATTGGCTAACATATTACAGAGTTAACATTGCTGGAATCGTTACAAATAAAAGTGCTAATGAGATCAAGGATGGGTTTTAAAAAGGGGTGCTTGATTCCTAACTTAAGTGAGCCATCTTGCAGATGAGGGTGGTAGTTCACTAGCAGAGTAGATAAAGAAGGAAGAATTGATCTAGAGAATATAAACTGCTTAACCATAAAATAAGTAAGATGTTAAATTGTATAGTAGAGAGTATAAGACAGTATATTATAAGGTATTGCATGGTATAAATTGTAAATGCCAAGGAATCAGAGACAAGATGGCAGGAGATATACATACATACAGAATATGCACACTATTAACAATGATTTTTTTTTCTGTAAATGATTACAACTTATTAATAGGATCATAGATCAAGCTGGAAAGGACCTGAGAGACTGAGAGACCCCCTCCAATCCATTCCCCTTACTTTACAGTTGGAAACTGGGTCCTAATGAGGTTAAATGCCTAGCTCAGTGTTCATGAAGAATTTGAATCTAGCTCTTGATTTTACAGCTAACATTCTTTCCACCGCACCACACTGTCTGGATGAAGGAAAGTGAGAGAGAGAGAGTGTGTGTGTGTATGTGTGTGTAAATACAAAAGGTATTTAAAGTCCCAAGGTTAAAATTAGCTTAGTTGCCAGCTGGGTAAATAAGGAACAGAACATCTGCTGAAGTTCCTTAAATTTCCAGGGACAGCAAGTAGCTCTTTAACCATTCCTTGGCTATCATTGCAGAGCTTAGTACTCCAAAAACATCTGAGAGCTCAGTAACATGGACAGCTTTTCTGTTCTCACTGTCCTTTATTAAAAGTGCTGTGTGCTGAGCATGTAAAATGGTGCTCTTTATCCCACAGACACTGAGTAAATGATTAAGTAATTGAGCCAGTTCAACGAACGAGTGCAAACAGTTTCTACCTCACCCTTGGAAAAAATATCATATCATGAGCACCTGGACCTTGTCCGACTGATTTTCAACTACAGCTTTCCCAAGTAACCCTCATACTTGTTCAAACACTTCTCTTGCTGAGCAGTTTGCTTCATTATCTACCTAGGAAAATTCCACCCTGCACAGAAAACCATGCAAAATACTTCTTGGGACGGTGACTTCTAGTTAGTTGAGCATGGCAGTCAGTGGCCCATTCTACTGTAGGCCTGGCTGACGTCTAAAAGCCTGCTTGTCCTTTGGCTGTGGCCTGCAAGAGATGTGCTTGGCATGAAAAGAAGAAAAAAGTGAATGGGTGCTGTGGCACCAGCATGTCTGGAAGGACTATAAAGAGTAATTTATTATCAGTTTTGTTAGCTGCCATGGCAAGAATTTCCTCCTTGGTGGGAGAGGCTGGAATAAACTCACTACTTAAACCCTAGTGGACATGGTCAGGTTTTGGATGGAGTCACTGTGAGCCTAATCACTGTTTTGCCTTCCTAGAGATTGTTTGTGGCAGTAATGGTCTTTGTGGTTTGCTTAATCCTCAGGATGAAGTCAAATAACCACTGAGTTTTAGGGCATAAGTACGGGATGAGGATAGGTACTGGGCCCTACTTACTGCCTGCTGAAGGTCATTTTCAAACGTCTCCTTCCTATCCCCTGCCCCAGGTCATACAAGTAGTGATAGGCTGAAATCAGGTACTCTGACTTAACCTATTGCTCTTGGTTGAAATAGATGTTCTTAAATTTTGAGATTGAATGGGATTTCAGTAGTGGAAGCTCTTAAGGCCTGGTCTAGAAATTACTCTCAATTTAATCCCAATTTCAGTTTAGAATTATTATTTTTTTTTTTTAGGCAGTTGGGCTTAAGTGACTTGCCTAAGGTCACACAGCTAGTGTTAAGTGTTTGGTCTGAGGCCAGATTTGAACTCAGGTCCCCCTGACTTCAGGGTTGGTGTTCTATCCACTTCGCCACCTAGCTGCCCCTCAGTTTAGAATTATTGACAATTTTCAGGTGGTTGCAGGATTATTGATTTAAGCAACAAATTGTTTGAAGTTTTTTATAGTTCATAAAATTAGTCAGTGAAAATGGGGAAGTATAAGCCAGGGAAGCAACATGCTTTGAGTAGAGGAGGAAAAGGAATTGGCAGGAGTCTTCAAAGTCAGTTCCTTTCAACAAGCATTTTTCCTATTTGCAAGACATTGTAAACAATCAAATAGTCCTTGCTCTCAAGGAGCTTACATTCTACTAGAGGGATAGATCATATAAACAGATGAGTATATACAAAGTCATAGGAAGTAGATTCTAGAGGAAGGGAGCATTAACAACTGGGGTATCAGGAAAGGCCTCATACAAAGTGATCCCTGACCTGTGCTTTGAAGGAAGATGGAGGTGAGTAAGGGGTACAATACAGTTCTAGCAGTGCGGTATAGCCTGGGGAGAGAGAAAGGAGTGGAAAATGGAATGCTCTTGTTTGGGGAACAGGTGCGTAGTTTGCCAGGAATGGAGCATGTGTGAGGGGAGTAAAATGAAATAAGGCAAGAAAGGTAGGTTAGAGCCAAAACAGTGGAGTGCTTTTAAATGCCAGGCTAAAGGGTTTGATATGTCCTGATGCAAAACCACAATTTGCCTGCATCTGGAATACTATGCATTTCTGGTCAGTGAACCTTAATAGAGCTGGAAGATATGCAGAGAAAGGTAACTAGATGTGTTCTACAGTTGCCATATGATGATAGAAAAAACTGCACCCTTCAATATGTCTGTAGAATCATGAATTGAGTTAAACAGGTATTAAGCACATCCTTCACAGTCCTCCACAGCCTTTGTGGGTCTGTAAGGGTATAATACGTAGGTAGATACAATATGAGGTAATAGACCAGATGTGCATGAAGGGTATGAATGTTCATCAAAATAATGAAATTAGAACTAGAAGATGCTTGTTGACACTAAGTATAAATGAACAACTTCCTAAGAGTCTCATTTTTAGAGCTAGTATGAACCTTAGAGGTTTATCTAGTCCAGCTCTCTTAATTTACACATGAGGAAACTTAAGACCCTTTGAGGTGGTGAAACTTGTCCAAAGTGGTCCTTGACTTCAGGTCCTCCTGCTCCAAATCGAACATTCTTTACCTGGCAACAACACAGGGACAGTAGGCATATTCATCCCTTTCAAGACTCAACCGTTTAAGCTTGGTGCCTATGAAACACTGTGGAAACTGGCCAGAGAGTATTCTGGGTTATACTTAAGACCCTGCTATGGGTGATAGAGTATAAATAATCTCAAGCATGAAGACATTAAACCAGCAAAGCTGTCACAGTTAAATTCTGTTACATGAAGTTACACATTGCCCTCAGTGAATGGTCTAATCTATCAAGAGTTATATTTTTCTTAGGAATTGATCTGCTTTCTTTTGCTTCTAGGCCAACACATATGAAAAGTATTGGCCATTTTACCAGCAACATGGAGGCCAGTATTTTCCCAAGGAGCATCTGAAAAAGGCTGTTGCTGAAATTGAAGAAATGTGCAATATTTTGAAAATGGAAGGAGTGACTGTTAAGAGGCCTGATCCCATTGACTGGTCTTTCAAGTACAAAACACCAGATTTTGAGTCTACAGGTGAGTGGTATTCTGTAGTTAACTTAGCTCATGAAATTCTGGCCAGAGGGAAGGCAGTGATGGATGACCTTATAGGAGTTCCTTCCTACTCTAGTGAACTTTGCAAATTGTAGACTAATTAAAAAATAATTTCCAGCAGTAAAATGCTGGAAACTTGTAAGTGATCTGTTAGTATTAGCACATTAGTACCATATTTTTAAGACCATTCTAACTCGAAGATGTTTCATGGAAAAAAGCAAAATATTTCCTAAATTCTTCAATTGTGGTGTGATGGAAATGGATTTCGAGGATGAATGATAAGAGTCCTGGTTCAACTACTTCTTCACTTTATGACCCTTTCACTTCTATGAGCCTTAGTCTCTTCATCTATAAAATGGGAATAATATTGGCACTACATGCTTCAAAGGATTGATGGAGGAAGAATCCTTTAAACTATAAAGCACAGTAGACAGGTTCTCTAAAAACTACAGCTTTCATTTTTATCTGTCCCACCTGTAGAAAGCAAGGCATGAAGAGTATCTCCATTTTTGTTCTAGGAACTGTGGAAACAGATAGTAGAACCCTAGGCATTCTGAAGATGTGTGATTGTATTTCCATTGAATCTGAAGAGCAGAGTTTATTTTTAATCATTTGACAAACTGTTCCCTTCAAATATTTAATTTGATACATATCTTTTACCTCATGTGTGAACAGATGAATACCATTAATCATTTTCATTGCTTTTAATAGAATCAGTTTTCTTTTCCTTAGAACAGTGGCCCTTAAGTTATTAGGAATGACTTGTCTAACAATTAACAAGTCACAGAATCAAAGATGTTTGCTGATTTAAGAAAGAAAAATTAGAAAAAATAGAGCTTATTCAGGAAGGCTTCCTTAGGAAATTAGTTTCCTCCTTGGCTAACATCACTGCTCCATTCTTGTGCAGTTAAATATTCTCACTTATAGTTCTGGAAATGATATCAGGCTAATTTGTAGTTTTTACACAATTACCTGAAGAAGCGTAACTATTCTGTATCACAAAAGATATGATACAAAGAAATATAAAAATTATGATAAAAATTATAATATTATATATACAATATATAATTATATCGTATAAAAATATATAAAAATATGATACAAAGAAATATAAAAATATAAAATGATAAAATGATAAACGGCTGTATCCAGTGAGACCTGGAGGTAGCTCTAGACTTGATAGGTCTTTTATAGGAACATAGGATTTAAGGCTGGAACAAACCTTAGGGATTATCCAGTTCAATCCAATGTTAAAGATGAAGAAAGTGAGGCCCAGAGAGGGACAGTGATTGCCCAAGGTGATATAGGTACTAAGCAGATGTTGGTTTTATTAATATTTAATGCTTGTTAGTGGCTAAACTAGTCATTTCCCTTCATTTTATAGTAACATTTACCAAAATGTTTTCAATAGTCCTTTGAAATAGGTATTATTGGGGCAGCTAGGTGGCACAGTGGATAGAACCGGCCCTGGAGTCAGGAGGACCTGAGTTCAAATGTGGCCTCAGACACAACACTTAGTAGCTGTGTGACCCTGGGCAAGTCACTTAATCCTAATGCCTAGCCAAAATAAGAAAAAAAAAAAAAAGGTAGGTATTATCTACAGTGACTTGCCCTGACATGATTGTAACGGTTTATAAATAGCAGAGTCCACACTTGACCTGAATAATATGTTTCTGCAAATTTGCTATTATGATTATTAAGACTTTTTGACCTTTTTAGGTTTGTATGGTGCAATGCCCAGAGACATTCTGATTGTAGTTGGAAATGAAATCATTGAAGCTCCCATGGCATGGCGTGCACGCTTCTTTGAGTATCGAGCATACAGATCAATTATCAAAGATTATTTCCATCGTGGGGCTAAGTGGACAACGGCTCCTAAGCCCACAATGGCTAATGAGCTTTATGACCAGGTACTTTCCTGTTTCAAAGTTAGTGTACCTTTTTCTACAGAGCACATCAGAGATATATTCTAAATTTTAAGAATGTTTTACTTTTAGCAGTTAAAAAATTTTTAAATGTAAAGTCATACTTAGGTTCAGAAAATCAGTTTTACAAATATGAGATAGAGAGGCATTATCAGTAAAAGATCAAGGTTAGTGTAGGGGTGGGGATAATCATGGACTATGATCTTAAGATGAATCAGCAATATGACAACCAAAAACACTAATTTGGTCTTGGACTTCATTTAGAGAGGCATAGCTTCTGAGAATATTCTTACTGTACAGCTATGATCAGACCACATTTGGAGTTTTGTGATTTTTTTCTGGTAACCACAGTTTAATAAAGATATTAATAAACTGGAAAGTCATCAGAGGAAAAGACTTAAGTCCATGACATAAAAAGGTCAGAGATATTTAGCATAGAGAAGACTCAAGGGACATGATAGCTATCTTTCAAGTATTTGAAAAAAAGATTGGTCATGTGGAAAGGATTGATTAGTCTTGTTCTATTTGGCTCCAGAGAGTAAAACAAGGAGCACTGGCTGGAAGTTGGAAAAAGGACAAATTTAGGCTTAATGTCAGAATTTTTTTCCTAACAATGAAGAGTTATCCAGAAGTAGAATGGACTGCTGTGTAAGATGGTAGCTTCCTTCTCATGGGAGCTCTTCGAGCAGAGACTAGTTGAGTAGGAGTACCCTTGCTTGACTATGGTATAGTGGGGATCTCTTTTCAGATATGAGTTAGACTAAATGGCTGACTGAGCTAGCTGACAGTGAGTTTCAAAGACCTTTTGCTAAGGAGAAGAAAAGTTAGGATTTGCGTTGTTGGAGAGAATATCCCAAAGTAACTCAGACCCAGTATAGGGGACCTAGAAAACTCATTCTATACAGTGTTAGTTTTAGTCCATGGACCAATAGCAAATTCCTTTTGTTAAAAGTACGGAATGACTTTCTTCTGGGAATTTCCAAGGTTGTAGCTAACTATATGTAAATCAGTGTATGGCTTTATGGAATGTGCGCTAGAGTTGCTGAGTATCAGACTACCCTAATTCAATACCTAATACTACACTACACAAATTTTCCACATTTTTCACATGCTTTCACTTACTGTGAGTTTCAGAAATATTAGCACGGTATTTCTTAAATAGCATGCGTCATGTTACTTGATTATCAAGTTGAGTCCAAGTTTAAACTGGTATTCTCAGCTGCATCAATTGCCTTATTTTTCTTCCTTAAAACCAGGGTATTGATTTCGGTGTTTTTTCCCTGTTAGGATTATCCAATCCACTCTGTAGAAGACAGACACAAATTGGCTGCTCAGGGAAAATTTGTGACTACTGAATATGAGCCATGTTTTGATGCTGCTGACTTCATTAGAGCTGGAAGAGATATTTTTGCACAGAGAAGCCAGGTAGAGAAAAGCCGTATCTGCATGCTTTCTTGTATTTCAGTATAAATTATTAGTCCACTTCTAATGGCATGTCTTTAATTTTCTTATTTTCAGGTAACTAATTACCTGGGCATTGAGTGGATGCGTAGGCATCTTGCTCCAGACTATAGGGTGCATATCGTCTCCTTTAAAGATCCCAATCCAATGCATATTGATGCCACCTTCAATATCATTGGGCCTGGTCTTGTGCTTTCCAACCCTGACCGGCCCTGTCATCAGGTAAAAATGACGCTGGAAATAGCAAATAATATGACTAGCAACTGACATAGTAATTCAAATGGCATTTCTGTGAGAACTGTACATTTCTTTTTTAGAGTTATTGTTGAATTAGTTAGGTTTCTCTTACGTTCAGACGTTGGCTTGATGATGGTATGTGGCATAATGGTGTTGGTGATAGTTAATGGGATATCCATTGGATATTAACAGTGGCCATTAGCTTTTGTCAAAGCTAAAAGATTCATCTGTATGTGTGCACACACATGTACATATGTACTTTGAAAATTTACTACACCCCGCCTTACAACAATGAATAACAGTTGAATCAAAGTAATCGATACATACAGTAACCAGGTCTGACAATGTATTCACCATTCTTCTAGTCCCCAGTCTCTAGGACTAATATTGATAATTTCAATTACAAATAAATTGAAATTCATTTTAGCATTTTTATTTCATTTTACATATTGTTTTAGGTTTTACTTCACTCTACATAAATCCATAAAACTTCCTATGTAATAACTAATTTATAATTTCATACAGTAAAATAATATGCTATTAAAATTCCCTAGTCAACATGCCTCCATGTTTTGTTTCCACTTCTTTACTCATGCACTATTTCAAATTATGCAGCAGCTGAATCATAGACAAGATAATGCCTGCATGCCCAGGGCAAATCCCATTTGAATAATAGGTATCTTTCTTCTCCACCCACTATGGCCAGCCTTACCCTGCAGGGGCAGAATGGAGCTGCTGTAGTGGGTGCAGCTGACCTGAGGGTCTTTCCCTGATTCCCTGTGGCCTCCTACTTCCAGCTGGGCAGATGAGTGGTTTTGTTTTTAAATTTTTTAATTTCTAGGCAGCAATACAATTTTTCAATAAGTATGCCATGTTGCTGCTAATTTCTGTACCATTAGGAAAATAAATGACAAGGTTTTATATTTAAATTTAGTATACTTGCTAGAATCTAAAGAAGAATTCCTTCTACAACCCATTCAGCAAGTAGTGGGCTGACCTTTGCAAGAAAGTCCTAGTGGGGAGGAGCCCTGCTACTTCCTAAAGACGGCCAGTTCTACTTTTGGATAGCTTTAATCAGTAGGAAGTTTTTCCTTGCAACTTTTTGCAGCTTCTGTGAGTTGCTTCTAGTGAATAATAGCTGACATATAGCACCTTAAGGTTTACAAATGACTTTTTATATATTGTCATTGGAGCGTTACAACAGCTCTATGAGGAAGTTACTACCAACTGTTTTCCTCATTTTACATGTGAGGCAACAGGCTCAGAAATGTTAAGTGACTTCTCATGAATAACAGTGGTAAAAGCAGACCTCACACCTGGCCCTGTGTACACTATGCACTGCTTCCTATTGAATCCCTCCCAAGTCATCTTTTTCCATGCTAAATAACCTCTTTTTTTCATTTGACCTTCATTGCTTCAACTTAGTGGCCATCCTAAAATGTAGTGCCCAGAACTAACAACAGGACTCCAGATGCAATTTGACCAGCAGGGCACAGCGCAGGGGGAGTTTCACCTGCCTCGTCGTTGATACCCTCATTCTTGCCTGTTCCAACTCAAGGTTCAAGCCCACTGAGCTTGCAGCGCCCTAAAACCTCGGGTCTTTTTTGATATAATAAAACCATGAGACTTCATATTTACCAGATGTTCTACTGATGTAGGTAGGAGTTTTTAAGCTCATCAAGGACAGCTGTGTGTTCTCTGCTTACCTTGGTTATAACTCTATTAGCAATTTTGGTTCTGAACTTTCGAGTCCAAAGATCATCAAGCATTGAATTCTACTTTGTAACATACAAATTGCATCATACCAGCATAAATTAGTCATAATCTGAATGTTTGAAAAATAACTTAAAGATGGGAAACCTTGATGACATTTCAGATGGAATTATTGATAAGGGCTGACAGAGCAAGAAATTAAATCTTTTTGGATTTTTCTTTTAGATTGAACTTTTCAAGAAAGCAGGATGGACTATAGTTACTCCTCCAACTCCAGTCATCCCAGATGGTAAGAATTCCTTTCTATTGTGAGATTAACTCTGGATTTTGAACTTATTTATATGAAGTACAAAGTTAATTTGGGAAAATATTTTCCCCCCAAAAATAAAGCAGTTCAGGACTCTCTTCTTTAGGGCATGGAAGTGAGAAGGAAAAAAAAAATTGGCCAAGTAGAGGGAAATTGTTTAAAAAAGATAATTTTAAAAAAAAGCATTGTGAAATATAAATGTGTAATTATTAGAGACTGATACATTTTTATATTTGTGTAAAAGATTATGAAGAAAGTTCAAAGGCCTCCTAGGGAAAGGGAATTACTACTAGCATGAAAGTACTATTACCCTATCCTTGTGCTCTTTTAATAAGAACCTCTCTTTTAAGTGGAAATACGAATGGATACTGAGACAATTACTTATTTTCTTTTTAGACCACCCACTCTGGATGTCATCCAAATGGCTCTCCATGAATGTCCTAATGTTGGACGAAAAACGTGTTATGGTGGATGCCAACGAAGTTCCAATTCAAAAAATGTTTGAAAAACTGGGTATGTTCAATATGTCAAAAGATTACATATGAAAGAGTTTTTAAAGATTGTATAATGATCTTAAACATTCTGGGTCAGAGCAGTATTTTATTTCTAACAGTGGTACCAAGGGACATTTTGTGGAAGGACCTTGTATTTCAACCTACATGTCTTCAAATGTATCTAACTTTCCTTAGTAACCAATATAATAGTTCTCTAAACCCTTCAGGGACCATTGAAAACTTTATAGCTCATATGGGAACAGCTACTTCATAGGCAGCCTTGTGGATTGATCAGCTATGTTTAAATGGGAGACACATTTAAAGTACTTCAATGAGCTACTTAAAACTAAATGAAAATAAAATATAATTTTAAATATTAATAACCATTATTATAGTTTTGAAAGGGATTTTTGAAGGGCACAGGTCTTCATATGGCTCTATTTTATTTTCCTGTGAGTATACTCAAGGTTCTGCCATGTTCCCTCTTCTGTCCCCTCTCTGTATTTTATCTTAGTAATTTAATTGACCTTCCATAAATTCACTTACCTCTGTCAAGGTTACTTCCAGGTTGCTCTCTGTCCTGGGCTTGAGTCCCAAATTGAGTCCCAGAAACCTGTCTATTAGACTTTTTGATCTGGGTGTCCTGTAAGCACCTCAATCTCAATGTGTTCAGAACAGAATTGGTTATCTTTCCCCAGAATAGCCAACCCCTCTTCCTCACTTCCTGCTTTTATCAAGAGTACCACTACACTCCCAGTCACTCTATGTGAGTGGGAGTCTACTCTCCCACAGCTGCCACATCTTGTCACTTTTTATCTCTAGCTCTTACATACAACATCCCATCTCCCATCTTGGTACCTTTGGCTGTTAATTTTGCCTGGGTTACATTCCCTTTTCACCCCTGCATCTTAAAATCCTTAGCCTCCTTCAAGCTCAGTTCTAAGTGCCTCCTCTTCCATGAAGCTTTTACTGATACCCAGCTGGTACCTCTTCCAGAATTATCATAGCATGATTATGTATAATTAGTGTAACAGCTAACTTGTAAGTCAGTCCCAAGTCTACCAGTCAAAGGTTGTTTTGTCTTTCTGTCTTTTAAAGGAGATATCACTATCTTACTATCGCTTGGAATATTAGTCTGTTTTAGACTAATTAGTCAGGAGGAAAACCTAATTTTCCATCTACATTCCTACCCACTGCCCCCTAGCTGCCACCATATATCACTGGTAGACTTAAAAAACCAGGATTTCTATAATTTACAATCTTTGTTTTCAATTTTCTTACTTAAAGAAATCTGGTAAGATACAATATCTTGTTTAAATCTTGTATCTTTGTTTTCATGCAGGTATTTCGACAATCAAAGTTAATATTCGTAACGCCAATTCATTGGGAGGAGGTTTCCATTGCTGGACCTGTGATATTCGTCGACGTGGCACCCTGCAATCCTACTTTGACTAGAATTGGCCAGATGAGTGGTGGTGGCTGCTTAGCTTGAAATAAGGCTAGTCAGCTTAGGTATAAGCTTCATTCTACTGCTAAAACAAATGCATGAGCTAGCTATATAGTGCTTTAAGCAATCATGTCCTTAACCCCAGAGTCTTGAACCTAGTTTATTGTCACTCGCTTCCATATAAGGGAAAAAATCTTAATTGCTAAGTCTTTGGGCTGACTTTTTGAAACACTTTTGTTTCTACTCCTGAAGTCCTATTCACTTTGGCTTCAAGTGTGAACCTGACAATGTGTTTCAAGGCAAAGGTTAGCTGCTAGAATAACTTGGCCACTAATGTTTAACCGTCTACCTCTGTTTAATTTTCTATCCATAAGGCAGCTTGAAATGATAGCCCTGAATTTAACATTCTTTTTTTTTTCTCTATTAAGTAGTGTTATATTTAATTTTCTATCCAAAAGGCAGCTTGAAATGATAGCCCTCTGTTAAGTAGTTTTGTGTATCTTACTTTGGGTCCAGATAACTGCCTCTTTTTCTAACAGTATTTTGGGTTAATTTTTTATTTCCATTTTTTAAGATAAGCTAAACTATGCAAACATCAAAGGGAATTCTCCAGGAATTTAGTTAATATTCTCATCTCAACATTTTAACATTAGTGTTATTTGCTTCTAAAAACATTTTCATATGACTTACCTTATTTCAAATGAAATGTTTTGTCCACATTTCCTGTTATTTCCAAAGTTCTTACAGAAATATTCAATGCAGCAAGATATAATTGTAATTTCCCATCTCTAACTTTTTGGTGTGTTCAGTAGCTATACACGACTACATCTGTAAGTTTTCTTTCTTTGGTAAGTTAAGATGTTTACGTAAGTGCAGATTCTTTAAAGCATAGCTGAGAGATAAGAGTATTCAGTAATTAATGGAAAAGAACCTATATGCATACATATGACCTGGTTTTAATGTTGGATACCAGACATGTATTTTTTATGCTAATAAAAATTTTTGTGTTCAAAACAAACCATACCATCTTCCTGAATCTGTGATGTGAACTTTAATTGAGGGAGTTATTGATTTCTGTGCCTCAGTAATAGCAACTTGTTCAATAATATTTGGGAAATTTATAAGGATAAAGCCCAATTTCTAAAATGTTATTTCTACCACTGCTTGGAAGAGTTGTTCTTCCAGTATATTAATACAATATATATAACCTAATGCTAGTCATGTAAATTACTTGAGCAACCTTAAAATGGCTTGCTTTCAAGTTTTAAGCCCATATTCAAATCCTTTTTAGCTTGGTAGGCCCTGCTAAAGCTTGTACTACTGTGTTAGCCTAACCTTTAAGGACTGTAGTTATCCTTATGCCAAATAGGAGACACAAAAGGTGATCTGTGCATTAGGTAGGAGGGGATTTCCAACTCTTCACATTCTACCTTTCTAGTCAACTCCCCCTACTCCCTTTAATAGACTGTTCCAACTCAAGCAGTGGTAGAAATAATAACATGTTTGAGCTAAAAGATATTGTCAATACTTCCAACTTTATTGTTCCATCCTTCTCCGTTATATTTCAGTATGGCATCCATATTCTTAATTCCATAGATAGATGCTGCAACAAAATCTCTATTTAACCCTTTCATCCATCTCCTTCAAGATCCTATGAATGTTTAGGAGGAGTTCAATAGAGCCCGGACTGGCAAATCTGCAAAGAGCAAAAGTTGTGATGATTTCTGCTCTCACCTGAAAAAAATGTAGGAGAAGGTAGTGTTCCTAGCCTTTCAATTTTAAATGTGGATAAACAACCTTGGGCAGACATGTCAGAAGAGGGGAGGAGCCCCTAGGTTTCTTTTGTTTACCTGTTCAGGTATCTGTGAACATTTCACTGATTAATTTTTTAATTTTTAATTTTTTGACATTTGGAGAAAAAAATCAAAAATAGCCAGAAGAATTTTCTTCTAGTATGCTTTGATCTGCATTCTAACTCCATAGTTCTTTGGATGGAGATAGCATTTTCCACCATGAAGCCTTTGGAGATGTCTTAGGTCCTTGTATTGCTGAGAAGAGTTAGTCAAAGTTAGTCATAGCACAATGTGGCCGTTACTGTATACAACGTTCTTCTGGTTCTGCTCACTTCACTCAGCATCAGATCATATAAGTTTTTCCAGGTTTTTCTGAAGTCTTCCTGTTCCATCATTTCTTAAAGCACAATAGTATTCCATTACATCCATATAGCAGAACTTGTTCAGCCATTCCCCAGTTGATGGACACCTCAATTTCCAATTCTTTGCCACCACACAAAGAGCTGCTATAAATATTTTTGTACATGTAGGTCCTTTTTCCATTTCTATGATCTCTTTGGGATGTAGCCCTAGAAGTGCTATTGCTGGGCCAAAGGGTATGCACATTTTTATAGCCCTTTGGGCATAGTTCCAAATTGCTCTCATGGTTGGATAGTTGGATCATTTCACAACTCCACCAACAATCTATTAGTGTTCCAATTTTCCCACATCTTCTCGTACTGAGATAGCTGCTTATAGGCCATCAACTCATTCAGGTACTTTTTTCCCAACATCTGTCACCATTGGACACTCTTCCCAGTCCACACCCATTATAAAGGCTGTGGGTCGCAAGGCATATGAGCAGATGACCTGAGAAATAAATTTCTTAATCATTTTCTTTTGCCATTAATTTCCAAGAAACTCCTCCATAATCAGGGTTCTGGTCCTTCCCAAATTGGCCCTTGAAAAAACTTCCCTTCTTCAAGATTAGCCATCGGACTCTGGGTAGGGCATATGAAACTAGTAGTCATAGCATCAAGGTCCTGTAAGAACCCATGTGTATCACAGCCTCGAGGCTGGACATGGCATTATCTCTTCTACCCTAAAGCCACTCATACTGGCATGGGGTTGGCTCCCTTGGTTCAAAAGTCAAGGACTAGGGGCACAAGCATAGCTCTTGTAACTGACTACTCCTAGAAAAACGAGTCATTCCTTATGATGAGGTAATATATTACCTGGAAGTCGAGCCCCTGTATGATCACCATCTGCCCTAGTGAGGAAAGGGCTGTGTTGGTAAAGGCTAACATAGCCAGGAAGGCAATCAAAGTGGCAGCATTGAAATTACTGCTCCCTTGGTTACAGCTTCCAAAAAGTTGTGTGCCTCCCTGTTGGTATCAGGAATTATTTGTACTGAATTCTTTTTAAACATTAGAGACTAAAGAGATCTGTCCCTACCTTGTCAATTCATAGTCTGATTTGAACAAACAGGAAATTCCTGCTTAGTGAAAGCCTGAGATGAAGAGCCAAGAAATTACAAAGTCAGATTCCTAGAAGTGGAAAAATGCATCCAGATAGACTCCATCTATCTCAACCTATACCTGAACATTACGTTTTACAACCTCTGACAAATGATTATTCAACTACCTTTTGATTACATCCAATTACATACAATCCAGTGATAAGGTACTACTATTTTCTTGAGGCATACCATTCCTCATTTGAATGTCCCTATATTAGATCTAAACCTTGCCCTCTGTTACATCCACCAACTGTTCTCTAGGACCAACCAGAACAAACCTACACCTTATTCTACATAACAGCCCTCCAAATACCTGAAGACATGTCTTTTCCTGACTAAGCACATTAGCCAGAGCATTTGATAGATAACATAGGTTTCTTGAGAATTATAAGGATGAGAAGTAGAAGGTTGATAGTTCAGAAAGGATGGAGTAATGCATAGAACATTTAAAGGCAGAAGTAAAAAAGAGAGAAATGAACATGTACAGAATGGAGAATAAGAGGCAGAAAGAAGCAATGGGGCGATATGGAACAATGATAATGATATGAAACATTTTTATAGTTCAGAGAAAAATGGGAAAGTCAGGAAATTTTAGAGAGTGGCGAGGTGGCATTCCCATAAAACGCAAAAGGAAAGGAAAGCAATTTTTACAAATGATTTCAAACAAGAGTTTGTAAAGTCAGATCAGGTAAAGAAGAAAAACGTGGTTATGTACAGAATTGCTTCTTGAGCAAGGCCACTCTTTTCTTCCCTACGTATTATACTGGAACAACTGCTTATATGGGGACTGTAACCATATCGTCAACTGTTTGTACTAAGATGACTGTCACTCCTTTCCCATACTTGCCTTTATACTTCTAACCTCTTTAACTCTGTTCACCTTATTGGCCTCAATCATGTAACAGTATTTCCCCATCCCCATTCTTCAACTTGGAGACTTCCACTTCTGGGTAAAACTACTTGAACAAGGCAAGAGCACAAGGTGCAGCCATTACAGAGGCAGCAATCAAAGATGTGGAGTCCAGTCTGAAAGACCATTTAACAGGGCTTGATTCCTATGCCAGAAAGTTCCAAATGGAGGGAGGGAGGGAGGATATATTTTGCTTTCCCAAACCAAGTTGGAGAAGTCCTTGAATAAATTGGGTTTATGTTTAAGAAATATCATAGAAAAAAGAGTAACATTGGATACAATATTGCCCTCAAACATTAGATTTCCTTTTTTTTTTCCAATGTGTTATGAGAATGTTTCCTCTACTAGATCTAACCTTTAACTCAGCATTGTCTTATCTACTGTGGGAATTACCCAAGCAAGAATTAAATTTCTTTATAGATAATGGATGTTCCTAATGTTAATTTAGCACACAATTGTGATTTCAATAGGATTACATCTGATGCAATTAAATGTAATTAAAGAACTAATTAAGAAATGCCATTGTACCAGGTTAGCTTATCTTTATACAGATGTATGCTTCTTGTTACATCTTGGGGAATTCTCATAACAACACTGGAAAAATGCAAAGCAGGGTAAGTTTCTTTCTAGTATCCTTGGTACAAAGGCAACTATATACACCATCTGCATGTCTAAACTTCTGGCTGGCTTCAAGGGTCTCTAGGCCTACTCCAAAGGTAAGACATGGGAGAAGAACTAGTTTAGGGAACAATTTTGTCCTGCAGCTGCCATGGGGGAAGGGAGCATCCCCTGGCCGGGCCTATTCCAGATAATCAGAGGACTCTTTCTCCCATTAGCAAGTGAAACCCAGGTCCACTGGAAGAATTTGGACTTAAGAGGGATCCCTGGAGCTTTCCCTAGAGCTGAATGAAATACACAAGAGACCCTGGAATAAATTTGACCACCTAGATTTCAAACTAGACCTAGGTTATCAAGTGGAATCTCTTCACCTCACTCCAGAAGTCTTTGGTTTCTTCCTAAGTGTACCTTTGTCTTGACTAGGAGGATGCTAGTGTTGAGGTTTAGGGGTGCTGGGACCCCAAAATCATGACACACAGGTCCTGCCCAAAAGAATTTGACCCAAGCCTTTCAGCCGGACACAAGGTTTATTAAAGATCTGCCATATTGGGCACACTCTTAAGGAATCTAAGCATTTGTATCGCTAAAGCAAGCAGGCCAGATTTTAAGAAACTGAGCTTTTGGCTAGACTCTTAGGAATATGAGCACCTTGGTGACCAAGGGAGAATGGAGTCTAGATAGGATTAGACAGATAGGATAGATAGGGAGGTAAGACTATGGAGGACTAGGAACAGAGAATTGGGAGTAGACTATAATGAAAGGCCAGTTGATGGGATTATAGCCTCAGGCCAACGCCACATTTGGCCATGTGGGAAAGTCCAGGGTTTTTCCTTTTTGGGGTCCAGATCCCATCCTCATCACTAGAAGCCCAAGATCGCCCCAAAATTTTTAGTGCAGACAGCTATGACCCCTTACTCCTACAGATAGTAGAAATGTGGTGAAATGAGATGTGGGTAGGAAGGGGAGTGTTTAATATCCCTGTGGTGTTAACCTATGTCATATGATAGAGTAAAATATGGCAAAACTAGGCACTCTTTAGGGAATGTTTTCTTGTCATTGCCCCTAGATAACATATCACAGCAAGTATACAATGTTCCTGGGACTCTATTAGGAACAGGTGTTAAGAGAGATACTGAGTACTTAAGTTCCAGAAGTAAGTCAACAGAAAGTTCTTCTGAAGCTCTC